TTTCTGACGGTAAAAAAAATTTGGCCAATATTGCACCTAAAGCTTCTCCTGGCGTAAATATTCACAGAAATGCTAACAGAACTAAAACCAATTAAATATTACTCAGAGATTCTATTGCCTATTACCAAATTATGCCATAACCTTGTGCACGATTTTTACAGCATCGGGCTAGTAAGATATCTTTGTGAACATAAAAGATCCAATGATTTCTTGTCCTGGGGCAATATGTTATACAACATGAGAATTCGAATTCTAACAACGGTTAATGTTCCATATTCGTTCTATTAGGCACAATATATGAATTTTAGAAAAGGCTTTCTTTATGTATTTTGAGATTTCATAACGATATGCTTCATAATAATATATTATAAAATTTACATCACTCGACTTATTGATTAGGTGTTCCATAGAAAAAAAATAGTAAAAAATAATTTGAATTGTGTTAAATAAAAATTAAATATAAATGAAGTGTATTAATTGTATTAAACAAAACATCGATAATTATAATGATTCGGTGTTAAAAATTTATTACAGTTAAGAAATCATCAACTTCATTATGTGGCAAAAGTAACATTTCTCAATATATTGGCGTAAAACCCATATTTGTATGTTGCAATTTCAACTATAAACGTGAGATCAAGTAAGGTGGTTTTGTGGAAACAAAAATAGTATATTGCAGAAATAAAGATTTGATAAAAAATTATCAATTTCTTAATATATAAAATGTATTAAGAATTTTGTATTTAAGCAAATTGCAAAAACTTTCCGGCCTGTGTAAATAATTTTTTTTTTCTTATAACCAATCTGAACCTTGAGCTCGATGAGGTTATTTGCTGATGGGTACAGGGATGTGTAAATAATTGACATAATTTATATGAATTGAGATTTTGCAACTTTTCAAATTGAGGCAATAGGATTTTGAACTTTGATATGGCTATTATCCAAATCTAAATGAGTTTTTATTAGTTTTTTTTAACACTTTTCGTAGCCTAGAATATTATTATAATCGTTAGTAAGCTCGTTAAAACCATGTACACTATCATCATACAAAGTTTCATCAAAATTGCCAAAAAATTTTTTTCAACAATTACCTGCAGAAAAACGACCAGGCTGATCTTTACCAAGAAGAAGCACGATCTTCAACAGATATCTTCTGAAAAAAAATCAAATTGGTTCAGGATTTTTGGCAAAAATGTGGACACAAATTTTTGCACTTTTCTGCCAATTCTAAAGAAACGGCTTGGCCGATCATCTCGTAAAACTAATTAATGTGAGTCTTCATACAGTTACACCAATCGTTTTTGAAATTTTGAATGGGTGCGGTTTTGGAGAAAACTTAAGAAAAAGGTCAAATTTGGTTTATATACACATGCACAAACATTTTTTTTTAAATTTTGGCATTAAATTAATCAGATTGACTTGAAATATCGAGAAGATTTATAATTGGCAAATGGATTTCCTGACGAAAACAAATTTCTTCTTCAAACATAAGTTATGCATGAAATAGAGCATGAAGAAAATATGTGGTTAAACAATTCATTAAGTTCACTAATAAAAATGTGAAACCTTAGTGCTGGAACTTTAGGAGCTTTACTGAACTTCAAGCAAAAATTATATGTACAATGTAAGTATGAAAAACTTAAATGTTCAAGAATCTTCCAAGATCCTAAACATCAAAGTTATTACAAAGTTATTACAAAGATCGTTTGAATTTTGTCGAAAAAAAAATACTACAAAACAAATAAATTAATACAAAACTTGCCTACAACAATTTTTTTCCTATGTTAAAATGAAAGTCAGAAAGCTTACAACTTCAAAATGTAAGGATCATTGATAAGGAAATGGTAAGGATATTTTAATAAATTTAATCATATATTATTTTTGATCAATTCCATAACTGACTTTATACATGTATCTGATCTTTATTACAAAATATTTCATCCATCTCGCAAATATAATATAAAAATGTCAAGCATTCTCTAATTATCAGATCGGAAATGCTTTTTAACTATTTGTAAGTTCTCACAATTTCAAATAATTATCATAAACAATTGTAAATGTTTTGTATGATAATTAGTTATATTATTATGTACTATTATAAAACTGACAGTGAACGTACAATGGGTGAAACACGACATAGAAAATATAAAAGTGAAATGATATAAATATTAATACTACACGAGACAGTGAACTCGGCGTTAAAATAAATGACCGGCAATTAAGATTAATGGAGAAAATTAATATACATAAGGAAATAAAATGAAACATAGGTACATTTGAAGTTTAGATACATATGTCACATTTTTATTTCAAAAAGTAAAGTAAATCATGTAATATATTTTCAAATGCAGTCATACCTGTAATATATGTATAGAAAAGTTGTGAAACTAATTTCTTTAGAAAAAGCTTTTAAATAAATCCTTCTATTCGTTGCATTCGTTTTTATTGGTAACTTTTATTATTATAATTGACAAGTGACGAGTAGCGCCATATTGCAATTTAAATGAGAAGTTAGTTGCACACATTAATACGGGATGATAAAAACTAAAAAAGCGCGCCAATTCAAAAGTTTTCTTTTGACAAATCAATTTCAAAAATATTTTTAAGAAACCAATTTTTATAAACAAAAATCATAAAATTCTGTAACAACTCGCGATGACTTACTATACTATTCATATAACACATTTTCATGAATGTGAACTTCCACTTTAAGTAACATCAAACAAGTAACCCAAAAATGCTAAAAAAAAGATTTCAGAAAACAATAATTGTTTATTGAATCAATTTTCAATTTCAGTTTAATTTTTCAAACTATAAATTCAACAACGTTTTCTAATAATTTGATTAAAATAAATTCATATGAATCTAATTGATTGACAACCAAACGCAGTGGCGTCATATTGGAATTCAAACGAGAAGTTAGTTACATAATTTATACGAATAGAAGAAAACTGAAAAAAGCGCGCTAATTCAAAAGTCCACTTTTGATGAAGCAATTTAGAATTTTTGTATAAAAACTAATCTTTATGAATAAAAATTACAAATCCCCTAACAACTCACGATGATATACTATTCATTTCCGAATATTTTCATGAATGTCAAATTATACTATAAGTACGTAACTTCAATCTAATCAAGAACTCAACAATAGTAATAAGCAATTTAAAAACAAAAATTTGTTGAATCAATTTTCAACAAAACAGTTTTCTATACTAATAATTTAATAACGTTTGCTATAATAACTTTCTTAATAATTTAATTAAAATAAATTGAAATAATTGACTGACATTTGGTTGTCAATCACCAGTGCTGTCATATCAGAATTCAAATGAGAAGTTAGTTGCACAATTTATATAGAAAAAATACTAAGAATTTTGCGACAAAACAATTTAAGTTGAATAGTAACCTTGCTATTAAATTAAATTAAAAAATGTTATCAACAATCATACATAGTAAAATTTAAATGAGAAACTAGTTGCAAAATTTGAACAGAAGGAAGATATTTGAAAAGCGCGCCAAGACTATCTTTCAAAAATCAACTTCAGGATTAAATTGGTTTAAATATTAGTTTTTCTTTAGAAAAAACTACTGTTCTGTTATAAATTCTCAGTGTCATGGATTATCAAAACGTTGAAGGTAAAAAATTGTTTTTTTTCATAGATATATGTTTAGGATAGTTTAAGTTGAAAAATATGAACAAAATTTTGAAAAGACACCACCATCAAGCAAAAAAGTTAAGAATTTAAAACATCTTTTTCCATAAACTTTGACATAATTTTTTTTGTCATGACTAGTGTAATAAGACTAGCTAATGCCCAAATAA